ATAGATAGATAGATAGATAGATAGATAGATAGATAGATAGATAGATAGATAGATAGATAGATAGATAGATAGATAGATAGATAGATAGATAAAAACAGTTTATAGATAGATAGATAGATAGATAGATAGATAGATAGATAGATAGATAGATAGATAGATAGATAGATAGATAGATAGATAGATAGATAGATAGATAGATAAAAGCAGTTTGAAAAAGGATAGATAGATAGATAGTTTTGAGGTCACAAAGTTAGATCTATTGTTAAGTCAATGACAGTCTTTTGCAATAAAAGTCTATGGGACAGTTGTTGCTAGGGTGCAGTATCTGGTAGTTAGGGTGTGGCTAGAAAGTTAAAAGCTCATCAGTGATTGGCAGTTTGGTAGTCTGAGTTAAATGAGCTCAGCCATTAGTCTGTATGACAGTCTGATGCAGAGTTATGAGCTCACAAATTTTGATCCCATGTTAAGTCAATGAGAGTCCTTTGAATGGAAGTCTATGGGACAGTTTCTAGGGTCCAAAAGTGGTTGCTAGGGCGTGGCCAGAAAGTTAAAACCTCATCAGTTATTGGCAGTTAGGTAGTCTGAGTTAAATGAGCCCAGTTAGAAGTCTGTGTGACAGTCTGACGCAGAGTTATAATGTCACAAAGTTTGGTCCAATGTTAAGTCTATGGGATTTTTCCGACGGTCCCGGGACGTTTTTCGGAAAATCGAAAGTCGGATCAGTCGGAAAAGATATGGCATACCGAGTCAGAATAGTTTGGAGGTCTGGTGTGAGTTTGGGGGTCATAGCTCGAAAGCTCTAGGAGGAGATAGATTTTGAATTTTAGTCTCAGAAGAAGAAGAATAATATATAAAAAAAATAATAAGTTTAAATAGGATTTCAGTAGTCTGGCTTGTTTCTCAAGCCAGCCTAATAAGTTTAGAAAGGATAACAGTAGTCTGGCTTTGACAAGCCAGCCTAATTAACTGAATGCAGACATTTAACAATCACAATCAAATGTTCAGATACATAAAGCAAAATGTTAAAGGCAATAATATTTTTCACTTTTTTCCCAATTATGTTTAGCAAGTACAATTTCACAGTTTATTTTCTTTAATATTTATTTATTTTTTGCTTAAGAAAGTCTCACTACTATTGTTTTGTCCAAAATAAAAGCAAAAAAAAAAAAAAGTCAATATTATTAGCAACTTAAGAACTTTTTTCCTCCATTGGCTACAGAATACAGAATTGTCCAAAAATAGGTCAATTTTATTTTTTTACTACAGATTAAACTTATTTTTAATAAAAAAAATATTTTAACATCAGCTAAAGATATAAATGTAAGGAAGAAAAAGTGCTCGGCTCGTTTGTGTGTGTGTGAGCATGTGTGTTCTCCATCTCTCTCTTTCTTTGTATTAGTTAGTAACATCACGTTTTCTTTCCTGGCTGATAGGTCACATGATCACCAGCAGCCTCACCCCTGTGTGTGTATATATCTAGATTTATAGGCACCCGTAATGCCTGTGGGACGTGATATGCCACTGAAGGCGGGAGGGTTTGTCACAGGACAGAAAGGTGAAGGAGAAATTGTGCAGGAATTGAGCATTTCCTGCCTCTGAATCGCTCACAGCGACGTGTTCGTGATGTCTTGCTGATATTGAAGGTCGAGGGTGACGTCAGTTCGGTGTTGTTTACTCTCCACATAAAAAAACAGCGGTTATACTGTATACATCAGCTTTAACTTCATAAACAGCAGTAGTACAACATCTCTGTATGTTTATTAACAGAAATACCCGGACTGCAGTGGACACTGTCTGCCATCCTTCATCCTTTTTGTCACTTCATCCATCCGTTCTCAAATGGTCTGTGAATGACAGACGGAGTTGAAAGAGTATAAACACACATTTAACCAGCCGCATTCATCAGAGACAGACGAGGGTCATTAATAGCACAGATGTATATATAGCCGATGCCCATGAAGCATGACATCGTGGAGATGGATGGATGGATGGCCGGCTGCCAAATGTATCCTTTTAGAAAGAAGGTGAGAGAGATAAAAAGACTGAAAATGAAAGCAGGACAGACTGTGTGTGTGTCCTTGGTACAGTGCAGAAGAGTGCAGGTGTGATCCTTCATGGTCATACTAACAGATTTTTTTTAAAACCTGTGGAAACATCTTAAATGCACTGAATTGTTCTTGTGTATGGGTTTGCACATCAGTGTAACAGTCGTGTGTTCACAGATCTTGAATGTCACCACATCCGTTTTTTCCTTGATTAATATCTGCTTAGATGTGCATATTTGTGTCTGGCATTTCAAATAAGGAGCTGTTTTAACATTCAAGCACAAGAAAAACTGGAATTGAAAACCTGGCATAATAGATGCACTCAGACATTCTTCCCTAGAGTATATGCAGTCAAGGCTCCTTTTTCTTTCTTGTTGTATATATTGAATGAGTAGTTTAAATTGCTATGAATATACCACAATATAATAATAGGCATAAAAATAATTATTATTATTCTGTCCCAACCAATTGATGCTTAACCAAAAGTTGAACAGATAGCATAGAACAGCAGAAAGCAGATTGGGTAACTTTAGTGACTTCACTTCACACAATTGTTCCTCTCAATTGTTTTTTTTTTTTTGTTTTTGTTTTTGTAAAGCTACAGCAATGAGAGGAAAAGTATGTATATATTCACATTTACTTTAACAAGTTCCATTCAACTAGCAGTACAATTTTAATTATGCACATCTTATTATGCATTAGGAAAATCTACTAAATAAAACTATTTAAATATTTCAATATTAGCAAAATTATCATATTTGTTACACCACCGCCATAATGTGCAAGCCATTAAGATGTGTTTGTACAAGAAAATACAGGTGGTTTAAAATGATAATAATCCAATGACCCATGAAAATTTACAAAAATAGAGCTTTAGTAAAAATAGAGCAGTTACAGACATATATTTCAATGCAGCCCCAGAATTAATCTGCGATCACACCCTGGGGGAAAGTGTATGTAACCCACTAATATATATATATATATATATATATATATATATATATATATATATATATATATATATATATATATATATAAATAATGAATCTTGTTATATTTTTAACGTCAGTTGCAGGCTGAATGGAGGAGGGGTGGGGGCCGTAAATGGCCAGCGGGCCGGCAGTTTGAGAGCACTGATATAGATGTACTTCCCATTGTACTGCAGATGCTTTGTTAAATTCCCCATTTCCAACATTATCTAATGTAATTATGCAATGAAGTTATTCGTTCTGTCAATTTTTAACTTTTTTTTTTATATATATTTTTATATATATTATATATATTTATATTTAATTTTTTTATATCAAACAAAGCCTTCCTAATATTTCCCAACGCAATCTCACAGCAATTCGTAACTTTTTGATTTAGTAGCTCATTTGTATGAATTTGGACACTCATTCATATATTTTAGTATGATTTGCACTTCCCCTAATGATGGTTTAGGGTGGAGATTGGGAGCATACCTTCTTTATGAATGACATTTTCAGGCATGTAAATTAGCCTCTTTTCTGACTATTGATAAAATAGTCACATTTTCTTGTACGATTGTGCTGATATTTCATACATTTCATTAGTGTCAAGCATAGTGGTTGCTAACAATTCTGTCACAAGTACTAGTTGTATATCCTTGCAGATTGCTGACATATTTGTGAATCACTATTTAAACTACAAATCCGCAATTACATGGACTACATATCACAGTATGCACAATACACACATACACAACACACACACAGCACATAAACACGCCAGTTCCTGATCCTGTCTGATTGCAAACACTCACATCTGAAGCTGCTCATGGACTGATTACAGGTCTATTAAAACAGCACACATACAGTAGACCAGGGTTCACCAATCTTGTTCCTGGAGGTCCGGTGCACTGCAGGGTTTAGCTCCAACTTGCCTCAACACACCTGCCTGGGTGTCTCAAGTATACTGTACCTAGTAAGACATTGATCAGGTGTGTTTGATTAGGGTTGGATCTAAAATCTGCATGACAACGGACCTCCAAGAACAAGTTTGGTGACCCCTGCAGTAGACGCATCAGAGTTGAATCTTGTTATACTGAATTGTGAACATTGCGACACGTTTTCCTTACCTTGCCTTTTTTGTTTTTGACCCTTTCTTTATTTTGTTTGTTTTACTCTCTGCTGCCTGGTTTCTGACCACTCGCATATGCCCCTGTGTTGACTGTTGACTGTTGCCGGTCTGACCATTCTGTTTAATAAACCTGCATTTGGATCTACCCTTCGTTGTCAGTATCACATTCACATTACAAATTCACTACATAATGCATCTGCTTATAATAGATTTGGTTATATTGTAGTGAAATTGAAGATATTTATGAATTTTTGTCCACTATTTCTAAATTTCTATAGGTACTGTTTTCAAAGTTTGTTCGATACTTTTTTATTTAACAATAGTTTGCCTACCAAGTTTAATCTGTGATTAAATTGCAATTCATCCACATAGTTTCTAAAGACTAAATTGCATGTATGTGCTGGAAATAACTGCACTGGCGTATTTTAAAATATCCCAGTGCCATTGAATAGTGAAAAGAAAAGATACACACCGCTAATTTGTGATTATTATAGATAAGCTACTTAATCTTTAACAGGAGTTTGTGAACAGTTAGTGAAGGCGAAGTCCTGGCTTAAGCCATTATGTATATGAAATTAATTATGTATCGTGTAATTAATTGGTTTCAAAATTTTGATTGGTTGATAGCCCTTATGTTTATATTTACAAGTCACAAAGGGAATGCCCCCACCCAAAATAAAATCAAGTACATCATTTCTGTTTGTTTTTTATTAATATTGTTTATTTTTATTTTTATTTTTGCTTTGTTTTCACATGTATTTAAATATGTACTTCAGAGTGCTTCCCACATGCTTTGTGTATTTCGAGACAAGTGGGCCATATGTTGACTGATCTTGGCTCTCTGTGTATATTTAGAGGCAGTTGGCGAGTCTGTTGACTGATTTGGGCCTGACTAGTTCTGCACTGCTGATCTACGAGAGACTGGAGCTCTGGGAGGATGCAGTTGTGTGTCTGGAGAGGATGGGACAGCATGGCAAGGTATTTAATATACATACAAATAGCATCTACACTGCAGGTGAATAGGGTAACAAAATTAACAAAAAGTTAACACCATGCTACCCCAGTCAATGGATTAAGTTGAAGGGGTAGTTCACCAAAAAATGAAAATTACCTCCTCATTTACTCCTACATCGTTAGAATGGCAAACTTTACAACAAGTTTTCTAAAAGGTTATGAATTGACATTAAATATTTTCTTATTTGCATACATTTCTAGCACAAAAGCTGAACATTGATTGAAGTCAATTTTAAAATTCTTGTTTCATTTTTTTTCTATGTATTGTACATATTAGAGTCAAAGGTTATAAATGCTATATTAAAAGCATTAAAATAGCTTGTTGTAAAGGATCAATTTACAAATTTTGTGTTAACATCCCTTTTGTAAAAACCTTCAGTAAACACACATGAATAAAACAACCTGACAGAAATCTTGTCATTGATCCCAGTTGTAAGAGGAACAAATAATAACTTGACTTCTAGTTGATCTTTTGGAAAAATGGCAGAAGGAATGAACTGCATCCCAGTCATCACAAATATTGCAGAAGTCCTATTGGAACCTGCGTGGACCTAATATTCTCACAGAAATCAGTCAAGTTTGGTGGTAAAAAAAAATTGTTTAGGGTTACTTTCAGTATGGGGGCATGAGAGAGATCTGCAGAATGCATGGCAACATCAACAGCCTGAGGTATCAAGACATTTGTGCTGCCCATAACATTACAAACCAGAGGAGAGGGCAAATTCTTAGGCAGGATAGCGCTCCTTGTCATACTTCAGTCTCCACATCAAAGTTCCTGAAAGCAAACAAGGTCAAGGTGCTCCGGGATTGGCCAGCCCAGTCACCAAAATGAACATTATTGAGCATGTCTGGGGTAAGATGGAGGAAGCATTAAAGATGAATCCAACAAATCTTATAATCCAAATAATACTGTACATTATTTCTGGCAAGCGACAAGACTTCTGTCTAAGCAAAGTCAACTCTTACTGTTTTAATGAAATAATTAAAAATTAAGGCATGATCATGTTTTATTTTGGTAAAATAAGTGTAATCTAGAGGCCTTTGTCTTCTATATTAGCCACTTATGATGCCAAATGACCAACTAGAAGTCAAGTTATTATTTGTTGTTTCTAAAACCTGGATAGGCCACAAGACTTTTGCCTGGTAGTGTACATCTGTGTTTTATGGCTCACTGCAAAAAAAGGGACAGTTGACCTTAAAAAATTTTTTTTTTCTTCTGTTGAACACGCAAGACAAGCTTTTGAAAAATGCTGATTGCTGGGACCCATCGACTTCCATTGTATTTTTTATACTCCAGAAGTGGTTGTGTCCCAGTAACCAGCATTCTAAAAAATGTATTATTTTGTGTTTGGCAAATGAAAGAAACTCATAAAGGTTCAAAACCACATAAGGAAGAGTAAATGATGAGGTCATTTTAATTTTAATTTTAAAAACTATTTATTTAAAAATCTGTTTTTGTAACTGAAATCAACAGAGTAAGTAGATTAAGTGCGATAAAAGAAACACTTAAAACTGTATTTTGATTTTTATATATCCATTAGACTAAGAGAGAATGCTTTTCAGGTAAAGCCAAAAAGCCCAAAATCTCGAAATTGACAGGTGCATTAAAGCAGATTTTACCTGCAGTGTCTCATCTAGCAGTTCCCAACTCAAACTTGCACCACTAGATAAGTCAATGTTGTGGAGTCTTTAGCTCATGTTCACTAACAGATTAGTGTTTTAAAAGTTGCCAAGTGTTTGCTCTGTAGGGAAATCAACCTACAAATGGGTTACTTATAGATGGCTCTAAATTTTAAGCTGGGATAATAGAAAATGACTTCTGTTAAAGATCTTGATGAGGGATTGATTGCTTCTTTTTCCTTTAGTCACATCCATCTCTTCCCTTTGTCCGCTCTGTCTTTCCTCCTGTTCTTTTTTCCCTCTCCACCTCAATCCTGTCAGCATGATCTAACAACACTTATCTCTATCTGTATGTATGTGCGTCTCTGCAGTTTTCTGTGAGCCGTTTCACAGCTTTATTAAGTTACTGTCCATTTATGTATACCAATCGGATTATAGGGTACCTCTGAGGTCAATAAAGCTTGCCAATCACCTCCAATCTGAACTGTAATAATATAAAAATGTACTGGCATTCACTTCACTATAGTACCTGAGGTTCCTTGCATTTTTTTTATAGCTCAGTCTACCTTTCCCTGCACTCTTTAAATCCATTAACTGCAGGTATGCATTGGAATGAAAGTGTAAGGAGGATTCCTGAAATACATTAAACGGAGTGACATCTCACATGAAAGGAAATAAATTGTTCAAATATGAGGAAGAAAAGGAAAGCAAGATGTGAAAAAATCAGCAAGGCTGGAGTTAGGAGAATTTTTTTGAAGTGTTCATGAGATATTTTTAAGGGGCTTCGGGATGTTCTGGTGTTTATTTGATTTGGGTTAACCCTCCAATTATCGAAGTGCTCATTTTGACGCCGTTTAATGTCTGTAAATATGTGGTTTATTTAAAAGCATATTTAAGTTGTCAACAAAAGACATAAATTAATTCACACAAACCCTTTAAAAATTATATTCTGGAAGTTTTTTAATAGTGAGGTCAAATTAGAGCCCAGTAGGGAAACGTTATCATAGTTTAGGTTACTAAGAAATTGATATCATTGTTTCCTTGTTTTTTATGACCAAAACCATTCAAATTTTTAATTAAGTCAATTACATTTAGTACTTCATTTATTCAGTCAATTGGTCGGTCAATTCAATTTTTTTATATGTCAAATTCTTTTTGGTCATTTATAGATGGACTGATTAATTAGCATAAATGCTATAGTCATTAGAAGTTGAAATAATTTAATTGAATAAATATAAAAAATAAATATTTTATAAAAATACAATCATTTAAAATAATAATTGCTGGGCAAAGACTAATTGTGATTAATCACATTCAAAATAAAAGTTTTTACAAAAGATATCTCGGTGTATTATATGTATTTATTATGCAAATGTCATAAACACACATACATCAAAGCTAAGTTTGTTTAAAATTTATTTCATATACTTATATATTTTATATCTAAATATAATTAAGCATTTTCACAAATACACGCATGTGTATTTAAATATACATAATCAATATACACAGTACAAATGGAAATATTGTGCCAAAACAAGCTTTTATTTTGGATGCGATTAATTGCTCTTAATCTTTGCCCAGCACAATTTTATATGCATCTCAAATTTTAGTGTTTGGTGGAACATCTTTAAAAAGTAAAATAGAATATACGCTCATCTAACAAATACTAAAACCATAAAATAAGTCATGGAAATTTTTATATCGAAATGAGAATAGAAGTTTTTTTAATTTAACTTAAACTATTATTAATAAAAGCCATTATAGTTATGGGGCGACGCGGTGGTGCAGTAGGTAGTGCTGTCGCCTCACAGCAAGAAGATTGCTGGTTTATGCTGGATAAGTTGGCGGTTCATTGTAGCTACCCCATATTAATAGAGGGACTAAGCCGAAAAGAAAATGAATGAATGAATGAATTATAGTTATAACGGATAGGGTTGGGCGATGTTGACCAATGTAAAACGTCACGATGGACGATGACATTGTCGTTCTAGGCGGGGGTGAATTAAATATTTATGAATAATTAATTAATTCATAACGAATTAATTATTTGTAGCCTACCGTTCAACTATCCGACCCACATGGTCTTCGAAAGATTGAAGCAGTGTACTGACGCTGTGACACATTACCTGATTGATTCACAAGACCGAAGAGTCATTAGAGACAAGATTAACTAATTATCATGTTTAACAACTATAGTGAGATGCAATCCAGTGGTACGTCCTTGATAAACTGTCAGACGTCTTGGGCTTTGCTGCTGCAATGGGGGCGGGGCGGAGGATCACAATGTCGGCTCAGCATCATGAAGTCTATCTATCGTCGGCAATAGACGATGGCATCGTCTATCAACCCAGCCGTAACAGATACTAAAATGACACTAAAATATCAACTAAAAAACAACAGAAACTGCAATAAATTCATTGTAAGTTAATGTCAGGCAGTAACAAAACGTTTCCATCATAATTATAATTTCTGCTTTTACAGTTTAATTGTAAAGAAGTTGTAATGTTGCCCTGACTCTTACTAAAATATGCATTTATTTGGGCACCGGAATCTTTTAGTTTCCCTTCTGAAATTTCTGACCTGTTTTTAGAGCAGTGAAACTGATAACCTGGCCCCAGATTAGCATCCATTTGTGTTGTTGGCAGTCATGAGATCCATCGGAGGAAACTGCAGTCTCACTGTGCCTGGCTGAGCTACGTACTGTAAACGTCTGTCGGCTTCAACAGCACCTTGTTATTTGTAGGTAATCGAAAATGTGCAGTTTACAACAGCTACAGGGAACAAAGGAGCATTCAAGTGCTGTCAAAGCTATTTTTTCCTCTTACTGTACCTCGACTCATCCCTGTTGTTCTTATATAAGAGAAATATGATTTATTTTGTAAGTAACTAGCTTATTCATCTTCTGTCTGAGACATCAGGTTTCATTTTTTATTGTGTCGAGTGTGAAGAGATACTGTTCCCACTTCTGAAATGTGTACCAGTAAAAATAAATAAATAACCACTCAAATAGAAATGCTGGCCAAGCAGTGTGAATTTTATTGCCGCCCACCACCTCTCTCCCACTGTGGCTTCAATTCTAAGCGTTTGCAAAAAGCCTTTTATCCATCCGTCCCCAAGAGGACCAGCTGGGGTGGAAGGGCAGGAGCTGATGAGAGATGCACTGTAATATAGCACAGCACAGTCCTGAGGAGTTTAGTGGAGCCACTTTCACAGAGACTGTAAAAGGGCATGTGTTACTCGGCTAGGTACAGTGTGGAAAAATGCTTTATGGCTTTTACATTTAGAAAAGGTGTTTGTGGTTTTAATGCAGTAATGGTCAGTTCCATCACTTTTGTGCCAAACACTGATGCTTTTTGTTTGAGATTTTATTTTTGGTCCTGTGTCCATCTAATTTTTAAATGGGTAGTTCATACAGAAATTAAAATTTACTCACCCTTGAATGGTTTCAAGTTTTTAAGTAAGAAAATAAAAGGTATTTTGAGTTTGCTAACTGCTAACCAATAACTATTATTGGTTTTGATTTGGTTTTATTTTTACTTTTTGTTGATTGTTTGGTTTGCTTTGGTGGATTGTTATTCTGCTGTTGGGTTTGAGGTTTTTGTTTAACGTGTTAATTTTTATTTATTTTATATTTATTTATTTTAATATTTTTAAATTATGTCATGTTTGTTTTTTGGCATTGTTTTGTTTTTGTTTAGTGTTTTTTGCTTCAGACAACTTTTATATAAAGATGCTTTCAATTTTTATCTTTATCCATCTATTTATTCATTCATCCATCTATTATTATTATTATTTATTGTAATTATTATTATTATTATTATTATTATTATTATTATTATTAATACTATTATTATTTATTGTAATTATTATTATTATTGTTATTATTATTATTAATACTATTATTATTTATTGTAATTATTATTATTATTATTATATTGTTAATATTATTATTATATTGTTGTTATAATAATTATATTTTTGTTTTTCATTTTATTGTTATTATAATTTATTATTTTAGTATTATTTATTTTATTAGTATTATTTGTTGTTATTATCTTTTTAATCTTTTTATTATTATTATTATATTGTAATTAGTGTATTATTATTAATTATGATTTTTTTAATTATTATTATTTTAATACTGTAATGTTATACCTTTATTTTTATTTTAAATTTATTAATTTTGTCTTTTATTATTATTATTAGTAGTAGTAGTAGTATGTTCTTCTCATTGTTATTTTTTATTGTTAAGTTGTTTTTTTTCCGATTTTGTGTTGAAGGTTATGGACCATGATTAGTAATTTATTTTTTATCTTCAGTTTTTGCTTTGTGTTTTATAATAATAATAATAATAATAATAAAGAATGTGGGACTATAATAAATCTTACACACCATATGGTCAAAAGCATGTGTACACCCAAACTACGAACAATTTCATAACCACTGATGTTATTAGGGAGTTGTTCATCTGTATAGCCTTCATTCTTCTGTAAAGATTTCCCAGTTGGATTCAATGGTAATTCTAAGATTTTGCTCATATTCAGGCACAAAATTATCTTAAATGATTAAATTTATTCTGAGGCTAGCGCTCATGTAGAATTTCTTGCTGGACATTCCAGTTCCTCACATGAGACTGAGCACATCATTTCATGCTTGTCATGCCGGAATAAAAAACACCCTCCCTAAACTGTTGCAGCACACAATTCTTAAGAATGTCTTCATATGACGTTGGCGTCTTAAATGGAATTAGGGGGCCTAGTCAAACCCAGTAATTAGAAAGACCTCTCCACATACTTTTGGTCGTGTACATATTTTCCAATATGCGGATTAAATTTGTCTGAGTAGTTTTAATCTGCTGGTGTTTTCTCTCAGGCGGAGGAGATTTTGAGGCGTGAGTTGGAGAAAAAGGAGACGCCGTCGCTGTACTGTCTGCTGGGCGATGTACTGAAGGATCCGCAGTATTATGACCGAGCATGGGAGCTTTCCAAACACCGCAGCGCACGTGCCCAGCGCTCCAAAGCTCTGCATCACCTGCGCCACAGAGAGTTCCAGCAGTGTGTGGAGTGTTTCGAACGCTCTCTACAAATCAACTCCATGCAGGTATGCAATTGTGCATAGTTTTATCCTCCTGTAAGCACTTGTAGAGGTTAAGCACCCATACTGCAATTCATCTGGAGAGTCTACAAACTTTAGTTTATTTTCGTTAACTTTAGAGCTTAATGAAGGGATTGCTGATAAACATGGCAAATAAACTCTGGCCAGTGTAAGAAGAGTTTACTTGCACCTTACTTGTTTTAGCTATTTCGGCCCGTTTAGAAACTTTACTGTGTGGAAGCGAACCACACCAAGAATAAAGTGCAGCATTGTAACAGTTTTAATCCCTGTTTTGGAACATAACAGTTGATATATAGGTGTAAAAGCATCCTTAGAAGGTAAACATTTGACTTTCTTTATGATTGGGAAAATTGAAACGGTAATCGCACGATTCATTCCAAAACAGATTAGTTCCGGAATGAAGCACCTCAGTTTTGTATCTTCCAAATATAAAAGGTGAAACCCATACCCAAAACCTCCTTTTTTTGACATTCTCACTGCATTCTAATAGGCTTTATCACACAGTGAAAACTCTGAAGGCATGCCTGTATTTGTCTTCTTGCAAAGTGAGTGGCATGCTCGATAATGTCACCTCGTACATCATTAAAACAACAATTACGATATAATCGCAGCCCCCTATCACAGTGCTGACAGAAACACTGGGGTAGAAAAAAACAAGACAGCAGCGTGTGGATGCGCTGTATCAGGTTCATCCAGCTCAGAGCCAAAAAAGGGAAAAAAAAGTGCAGAGCTCCCTATTTTTTTTCCCTCTTGCTCATTCTTCATTCCTCCCTTCATCCATAATGCAGCAGCACAGGCATCAATAAGACAGAGTAATTTTCCTGAGGGACTCATTGATGACCCCGGCGTGATCTTTAACACTGCCTCGGAGCTCTGCCGCAGGGCCTCTCGCAACTAATACTGCCTTCAGGCCTTGAACAGGAAGTCAAGACAGACAAGGACCAGAGAGATACAGAGATGAGCACTCTGGAGAACAAACCCTTGATTTAAAGCATACGATTCCTTGAGGTTCACGCCGGTTCAAAAGACATCATTAATTTTTAGGGCCGAATAACACTTTGAAAAGACGAGTGAATCACTTGAAGTCTCACATCAATTTTCTTTTTGCCCCTTTGGTGATACTCCATCTTACTCTTTCCTTTTTTTCTTTCTCTGCTGCAGTTGGGTGTGTGGTTTTCCCTGGGCTGTGCATATTTTGCATTGGAAAGCTACGAAGGAGCCGCCAGAGCTTTTCAGAGATGCGTCGGACTGGAACCAGATGTAAGTCACACGGTCATTGTAAGGAGATCAGTGTCATATGACCATAAAGAAAGGGCTCATGCTTAGTTATGCGGTGCTTGTGCTGTTGTCTCTAATTTATGTCTTTGGTAATCGATGGATTGTGTCTGCGAATGCCTCCCTGTTTATACCAATGCCTCCCTACTGCCTTTTATGCATCCACCCTATTAGATGTTGTACAGGAGCCTCTTATGCTCCTAATGGCGTACTTAAAATTCAAATGTAGTCAAGAGGCAGGCTTAATGCTCCATCCAGGAAACAAGTAAACTAGCGGTTAGGAAATATTCTGTGGATGTCTGCGTTCTTATTTATTTGTAATGGCTTATTTTGACAAATGACTTCCACCCATAGACCTGACTCTGATCATTACTCTCCTCCATTCAGAATTCAGAAGCTTGGAACAACCTTTCCACGGCCTACATCAAACTGAGACTGAAGTGAGTATAAGTGCGAGCATGACCAATGATGGATACATCAAAGAAAGCTCTTGTTTATTTTCTGCTTTTTGAAGCTAATAAGAGTAGAACGATCATTATTATTGTTTTATTTATTATTATTATTATTATTATTATTATTTTTTTTTTTTGACAAGGGTAAAACTATTGTTAGAACTGCTATGGATGCAGTAATTGCTATATTTTGCTAAATTTATACTTTTAGTTTATCTTTGTTACTTTTCAAAAAAAAAAAAAATCAAAATATGCAGCCTTCAGTCTGAAGTTTTCGTATGCGTTTTTTTCGTATTCATATCTGAAAAATTCATCAGGCACACAAACCTTGCACACTAATTCTGATGCATATTAATTATTTCATTCAGAAAATAACACAAAACATTTCGGAATCGGTTCAAGCAGTGGTACTTTGTTCACTTCTCCAATGTATAAAAATAAAGGAATATGCTACAAATTGTGTTCATCAAATAAAGCAGTGTCCAAACTTGTTCCTGGAGGGCCGGTGTCCTAAAAACTTTAGATCCAACTTGCTTCAACACACGTGCCAGGAAGTTTTTAGTATATCTAGAAAGATCTTGATTAGCTGGTTCAGGTGTGTTTGATTAGAGTTGGAGCTAAACTCTCCAGGACACTGGTCCTCCAGGACTGAGTTTGGGCACCCCTGGCATAAAGAGAAAGGACAGTTCTTCTTATCAAAGAGCTGCGCTGGATTATTATAAAATGCAAAGTTTATTTCTGGAAGTCAGTTAAATTTTGCTACATTGCTTGTAATACTTCTTATATTACGTATGTTAGCAAATCCTGAACAGAGACTGGCAGTACCTGTAGACATTACAATAGGTGGCTTATTGACATATCAGAGCAACTGATTGAAGCTGACAATGAGGTGTCTTTTTCTATTATAATGTCACCGAATCCAACATACGGGTTTTCAACTGTCCGCCATGTTTTGTCTTATATTATGCACTGTGTTTGTCTAAAAGTTATCTGTAGCTCAGGTGATGGCATTTTGTGTTTTGCCTTTTGCTTGTGGCTCTGAACTGTCAAAACACCTCTCTAAGTGCTTTTTCAGATGCGAAATTTTGGATTTCGTATGCAGTGTGTCAGTACAATTGACACAACGAGAGGTCAAATTAATTTTTTTACCGTGCGAAAATTACGGACAAAAATTTTGTATTTAGCATGCAATAACCTTTAAGCTGCGTTCACACTATAAGTGACTCACAGTGGCAAAGCGACTCATGGTAATTATTATTATTTAATTAATTATTATTAATTATAGCTCCTCCAGAGGCTGGTTGTATTCTCTGTGCTGTTGACGTACACATCTCAGTTTGCAGCAGATAAATAGTTGCAATGACAGAGAACACACTTTTTTTTCTTGATCATCTTTGTAATCAAGCATTTTATGTTCTGATTCTATACATATTTAGTATATTCTCTGAACAGTGTTTATATTCAGCAACACGTAAACTCATTCGCAACAGGCAGCTACAAAGTCACTGCTAGTGTGAATAAGGCATTATGAGACTTCTCAATCCCCAAATGTCTTTGAATAGTCATGTACTGTAAATCAAGGGTGTAACAGAACTCGTATTAATGCGGAGAAAACAGCCAGTAGCATTCTTGCTTATATTGTAAGCATGTGTTCCGAACAAATAATGTTATTAGGATTTTAAATTCCTTTCTGCTGCATGGCTGGCGGTTCTTTGCCTCCCTGTTGTACATTTTAAATCAAGCTATTGATTATTCATTACATATAACATATATCTTCAAAAATTGTAATTAGAACTAAATTGCAAAACACAATTTGTTTAATAAACTACTGTTCAATAAAAAAGATTTTTTTTTTTTCCTGCCTCTGTTCCTAAAATGTTCTGAACAGTGACTTCTAAACTAAAGTCTATACCAGACAGTCATTTTTTTCTTGTACAGTTACACCCCTTGTACATACAATGGTCCCACTTCTGTCAATGTTTTTCTTTTTCTGCTTGCATAATAGAGTCTCATGGACTAATAGACGTTTGCGTGAGCTGCTAAATAACAGCAAGCACTTCTCTCTCTCTCTCTCACACACACACACTTATCTCTCACTGAAATCGCCACCATGTACAAACCACAGATAAGGCCTCTATTCAGGTTCTGCTTGACCTGATTTATGCTGCATTTCTGTGTTTCCTGCATCCGCCGGGGACCCTCAGAGTCCTCCTTGCTTTTCAATTACTGCAGGAATGACTTTGGCAGCTGTAATTGCAAAGATAAATCTCCTCTGGGCTCTTGCTGTGTGTCCACTCCAGCAGCCAGCGCTTCGCCGCCACCACCAAACAGCCAATATTAACCAAATTTAGAAGCGCAGTGCCAGTTAGTACATTCGCCGCTTGACGTGATTGGAGGTTTTTGCCCATTTCCTGTGAGGAACAGAGAGGTGTTTCCTGGAACACCACTGTAACGGCATTTACCTGAGGGATTCTGGGAATGATTTCTCTCCTCGCCTCTGCCCCTCGTCCAATTAGCCCTGTTCACTCATCCCTGAGATGAGTCTTTGGAATCTTCTATTAAAACCTGATTAACGCTCCTGGGGACCATCTAGAACAGAAGGAGTGTGTGTGTGTGTGACAGAGAGATTGTACACGCACACCTGCTTGTGCTCAAAGGAAACTTGGCTTTAGATGTTACAGTGAGACCCATGTCGACTCTTGTGTCATGAGCTTTTGTTGACAGCACTTACGAAAACATCAGCTCTGTTCCAGAAATCCAGCCATGCGTGTTTCTGAAAGCTCATACTGTAAGTGATTGATCTGGAATGCTCTGTGTGCCACACACAGTGCTTCTCACGTCAAGGCTCAACACACAGCCCCTTCCACTGCAGTTTGCTAGCAAGTTGCTTAGCTAATAATCCAGTGCTCTAAAAAGGAACAGAATACATAAATACTGGGCAATATTAAAGATAAAATAGTAAATGTTATACATGAATATTGGGTAAAATTGGTAATGTATACCTGTCTGTTGTCATTTCAGTCATTTTCCATCCCTTTTTCTTTTCCTCTTTTACAAACTTTTTTCAATTTTGTTTACTGACTTTTAATCATTTGTTCTTGTTTCACTTTATTGTTATTTATTTCCTTTACATGTTCTTTTCTTAATTTATGCTTTTCCTTTTCTGTTATTTTTTAACATTATTTGCTATTTTGCTGATTCTTTTTCACTCTTTTTTTTTTGTTCTTTTTGATTATTTCTTTTGCTGTTGCTCTCTTTCTTCCTTTTAATCTTTGTTTTATGTTTTGGCACTGTCAATTATTCTCTTTTTCCTCCTTAAAGTTAATCTACTGCTTTCACACATTTGTTTGTGTAACCTTTTTTAAAGCTGTTTGTGCCTGGTGTATGAAGAAACTTTTTTCTTAATGGTATTGCTTTACATCTCATCCTTCATCCAGGATGATTTTAAACCCTTTTAAATCCTTCATGTCATTTTGTCACCTTGGAATTATAAGGTTCTAGGTGCATTCTATATGATTTTGAGATATTGAGCTTCAAAGTTTTTGCATTCCATATAGCAGTATGTGTGTAACAGTTTTCTTTAATACATCAACATGACAGATTCTAAATGTACTCTTTATGTACAATAGCAAAATTCTCTTAAATTTGCAAATTGGGGTAAAAAAAACAGGGCAAATACAGATAGAACCTTCTAATTCTAAAAAGTCATTTTCTGCTTGAAATTATAGTGTTCTGTCTAGCAGATCATTAATTGAAATATTACTTTTCAACAAATACAATCACAAAGATTTTAATTGGAGTTGTAACAATATGTTGATGCTTGAGAAAGTAAATGTTTTGCTTTCTGTATTATTAATGTTTTAGGATGAATTTTTTTGCTTGTTTAAATTTAACATGCAAAGTTATATATTTTTTCCAGTGCAGTTGTTAATTTGATGTGATTAGTACTATTATATATTGATAATTATTAAAATAATAATATGCTTTATATGAAATATTGATTTATATTTATTGAATTATAAGTCTCATTTTTACACTTCAAGGCTTAATATTAAATTTAAAGAAAACAGACAATGAGCAATGAGTTTAAGAAACACTGAAACATTTTTCGCTGACCATATATACTCAAATTAAAACATTTTACTCATATATATATATATATATATATATATATATATATATATATATATATATATAGTTTCAGCTTTCTTCTCAATTTTGTGGGTTGCAGCATTATTTAGTCGAGTCTGATTTTGTGTTTCTTACTGGTCTTTCCTGTGGTCAACGTAGTAGTCTGGCGAAATGACAAAGAAAGTTGATTCTGATTGGTAGTTGTGCATGCATTTGAAATGCTGATTAGCTCTCAGAAAGAACCTAATAGAGCCAAGCTAGAGGTCGACTCTGTAGATAACTTTTTTGTTTTTTAAATGAAAAATCTTAAAATGTAAACAATTCATTTGACAAAAATGTCAAATAGAACCATATAATTGTAAAGTTTAATTCAATTCAATAAACTTTTATTTGTATAGCACTCTTACAACGTGAGGATTTTAGTTTGTGTTGGGTTTAAATATTTAAATCAAAAATATTAAGTCATTTATTCTAGCCCAGTGTGACTATGCTACAAGTCTCACACCATTATCCTAGCATGCAAAGCATGCTTTGCAGAGGGTTTGTCAGATGAGAACTATATACAGTACACTGCTACATTCTTGTGGAAAAGTCACTTTTTGGAAACTGTACCAATACCATACATTGTTAAATCTACATCCATGAGCAGCTCACGTTAACAGTAGTTCTGCTAAACACACTGATATTTTTGTTGTGTGTGTGTGTGTGTGTGTATGTGTGTGTGTGTGTGTGGCAGGGAGAAGGCGTTCCGCACCCTTCAGGAAGCGCTCAAGTGTAATTATGAGCGATGGCAGATCTGGGAGAATTTCATTGCGGTGTGTGTAGACCTGGGCGAGTTCAGTGAAGCTATCAGAGCCTACCATCGGCTCATGGAGCTCAAGGACAAATACAAGGACGTGGAGGTGAGTCAGCATCACAGTTATTCTGAGGATAACCCTGAACTTTATTTTCATGCATACATTTGCAAAGAGTTTTCCTACGCATACACTAGTGTAATTTCTTTGGAAAATGCACAGCTTGTGCTATAGTTGAGCCTACATTACACAATATAATGGCCTTATATCTGCTCTTGAAAAGAGTTTTCTGGAGTTTTCTTCTCTTGAAAATGATATTTTTTGGAATTGCTGAAAGCTCTTTTAGTTGGAACTTCTAGGTTGCTTGAACTAATTGAGTTGTGGCTATGCACATTCACTTTCTGATTGGATCATATGTTTCATTACAGATTACATTACCTTATTCGTCAAGCTTCTGTCTTATGTAGATAGCTACTGCATATCATATACTATAAAAAACTATTGTATTTGTTCTAAATGAGAGACATTTGTTTTGCTTCAAGTGGGTAAGACTAGTACACTAATATAATGAAAGGATAATCAGGCGCACACGGTTAACATTAGGCCATTAATAATCTGTTCAAAGAATGGTTAAAGGGAAAGGGCAACCACTTTTTCCAGTCTATTTAAAAGAAAACCGATTGCATCTGTTGTGTTTTCAGCCACGGTTGTTCACATAAGGAAACAGGACACAGTAGCTTTTAAGCCTTCGTGCGCATCACATCAGTGTGTGCACGCGACACTAAAGCCCTCGTCAGTGAGTGAGGATCGCCTGTCTCAACTTGCACCAGATCATCCTCTCATTCGGTATTCGTCTGCTTTCTTTTGCTCGCCCAAGCAGTTATAGTGCTGCTTCTCGATTCAAAGATCATATTTGCACGCATAATGATAGATGGCATGTCACCTGCAGATGAAGTGTAAATTTTAGCTGTGATTTTTATTTATTTATTTATTTTTTTTCATTTTTCCTATTCCTTACATTTATATAGCGCTTTTCTGGGCACTCAAAGCGCTTTACATAGTGGGGGGGATCTCCTCATCCACCACCAGTGTGCAGCATCCACCTGGATGACGCGACGGCAGCCATTTTGCGCCAGACCGCACACCACACACCAGCTGATTGGTGGAAAGGAGACAGTGATGCAGCCAATTGAATATGGGGATGTTTAGGTGGCCATGATGGATGAAGGCCAGTGGGCAGATTTGGCCAGGATGCCGGGTTAAACCCCTACTCTTTTCGAAGGACATCCTGGGATTTTTAACGACCACAGAGAGTCGGGACCTCGGTTTAACGTCTCATCCGAAAGACAGCGCTCACTGAGCAGTATAGGATCCCTGTCACTATACTGGGGCATTAGGACCCACACAGACCGCAGGTTGGGCGCCCCCTGCTGGCCTCACTAACACCACTTTCGGCAGCAACCTAGCTTTCCCATGTGGTCTCCCATCCAGGTACTGACCGGGCGTAGCCCTGCTTAGCTTCAGTGGGCGACCATGTGAGAGTTGCAGAGAGCTAGCTGCCTATTTTACATATAACATTTCTGCCAAGTAAAACTACCATTTATTTTTCCCTCTCAGCCCAGTTTAGTGCTAGTTGTTTATAACGAATGCCATTATAATTTGTTTTATTTAGTAATTTTATTTAAGCTATAAAATTCCAGACTTTTTTTGCTCTTTTCATCTTCTGACGTCCATTTTCAGTCCAGTGACATGCGGTAAGGTTTGAGGTTGGTGAGGTATGACTATTTTAGGGTCATATTTAAATATATGCACTCAATATATTTGCCAACTACCGACTGTTTTTCATATTTCATATCAGCATTCTTTCTATACACATGGCAGGTACATATTGGGAAATAGAAAGAACGTAAAATGTAAAACGAGTCAAAATGCCTCTCAAAAACACCAAGGTGGATGATCCAGCTCTTATTCTTCAAATACGATCATTTATGTAATAAAAAACTATAATAAAATAATAAATGTCTATAATGTATAAAATCATTTTAATAAAGCATTACATTGGTAGTGAGTAAGCAAAAGGCACGTGCTCAAGCCAGTGTGCAAGGGATTGCGCAATCGGATGTGAAGCACATCTCGGTGCTGCCTCACCTCTTTTCCTACGCTGTAATTAAACAGTAAATACGCAAAATACAGCTGTTTTGATTATTAAATGGATTGAAATAATTTTAATTCTGCAGAAATTGCATTTATAGTACAGATCTGTGGACAAATATTTATTTTATCATCAATAAACATCTCATGATGGCAGGTGAGGATGACGACAGATGAGGCACTGCCACACCTGCCTCCCCTGACCACATGTCCTTGTTACAGTTGTGTAGTGTGAATGGAGATCTTTTCTGAAATGCTATGGAAAAACTAGGGGTCATTTATTCTTTTAAAACACAGTGTTAAAATGAAGGCCACTCGTGTAAACATAACCTTAATGTCTAACATCAACTGTTTTGGCTTGAACGAGCAGTAGTAAAGCTTCTGGGGTCTCGTTTGTGTCTCCTGTGGTGCTGTCATCACAGATCTGACCACACTAGCAGCTGCCCGACTGCATGCACAGATGAACCGCTCATGTGAGAGGCCGTGTGTGTGTGTTTAAGTGAGATTTGATGAGTGACTGAGTGAGATGTGATGAAAGTTTGTGTGAGAGAAGAGAAATGATTTCACCTTATGTAATTTATTGGCCAGATGGGCTTCTGTCTGCTCATTTCTCGAAGACGGCTCTGTTTTAAAACCACGCACCTCCATATGTCTATGTGCATCTTTGACCCAATCGCACCTCTTCTCCGTCAGCTGTGGTTCTAATAGTGTTGCTGTCATAACAGGCATGTCTTAAAGCTCTATGCCATTAGACACGTTTTTGCTCTGACTGGTTGATGTACCAGCTGCTACATCCTATTAAATGCGTTGTTTGTTTTATCATTTGGTAGTCAAATTGCCTGGTAGTTGTTTACCTCCTTCACTTTACGACAGCTCCTGGGTCACAGCAGTGGCAGTAAATTATCTTTTATTTTTGCAGAAATTATGGCTGCCCCTTAAAAAAGAAGCTACTTTGTGCATCTCCAATTTTTCAACCCTCACCTCCGACTTGCAAAATATATGGAAATTCTTGCCGTGTATAAGCAAGTAGCAAATTAGTTGTCCAAGATGTACCAAAAAAAGAGACAAATTAGTGTAAACATGAACTAGGAGACTGCACATTTGTGTTTTAATTAGGAGCAATTATGTTGAAATGTGACACCCTATGAAAATAGATAAATAGCAGATATGCACTCAGTGCCCATGTTATTAGGTTTCTTCCTTAAACCGAATGGTAAACTCACTCATTTCAATCCCCTGATACCTCTGTTTGTCTTCAGAACACAATTGAAAATATTTTAGATGAAATCTGAGAGCTCTCTTGTCCTCTGTAGACAGTGATAGGCCCAAGGCATTCAAAGTGCAAAAAAGAACCAAAAAAACCCTCAAAACATTCCATGTGATTTCAATGGTTCAACTGTAGTCGTATAAAGCTCCAAGAACACCTTTGTAAAGACTCAAAACTGTTAAAAAAGGCTTCAAAAGGGACATATTTTAAAATAATAATAATAATTCTAGTTTATCAAACGTATCTGCCACTGTTAAGATCATTTATAATGCAAACTATCACATACAACACTGAAAAATGAATACATTTAATGAAGACTCATAGGGGAAAAAGTATATTTTTTTTAATTAATTAAAAAAAAATTTGAGTTTATTTTAAAATAATTTTAAATGTTATTGTTTTATTCTTCACTCCTTTGTTTAATGTTTTTACAATGTGTCCATCAATCTCATCTTTCAGAAAATTTTTTCAAGACTTGTGTTATAGTTCTCGTCTGAATTAGGGGGCAATATAACGAGCATTTCCATTCTCAGAATGCAAGGCGCACCACACTGTCTTTTTTTGTTGACAAGGAAAAAAGAAGTGTGGTGGGCTTTTAATGTTGCTAGGCAACGACTGAACTGCTGTATTGTGCGTGAATGTTGCTGCTGATATTGTGATATTTCTTAATATTGTGATTTTCAAGATTTGTGAAGTAATACATCTTCGGACAACTTGACCACTAGTCTCTCCTCCATCTCTCAAAGTCTCTGTAGTCATCTTGAGAAAACAAACACTGCTGTCACGTCAACGGAAACTCTGCCTCTGCATTCATTTAATTGGAGAATGGAAAGACTGACTTATCAGTTTTTTCCCATTCAGTTGAAGTGCAGGCACACAGTGCGCAACGGCAAAAACGTGCGGCGTGCAGGTGATTTAAATGCCTGTCGCCATTAGTAAATCATTTAAATAAGAAATAAGAAACAACAAATTATTATTTTTAAAGAGTTTCATCTTTATTAGGCTTGGACAGTAGAGAGATTACAGTCAGGAAAGCATTAGGAGCAGAGAAAAGAGGGAATTCGGCAAATGACCTAGAGCTGGGAATTGAACTTGGGTCACTAATGAGCACCATTGATTGTCGATGCATTAAGCACTAGGCCTTTGGCAACAACACTTGTTAAGGTTTTTAATGTTTATTTTTCAATGTCAGTGTAAGTGCATTAATGTAATGCATCTTTATATAGCACATTTATCATGTATAGCCATACACCCAAAGCACCTCACAATCATGAGGGGGCTATCTCCATACCATTAACAGTTTGCAGCATCCACTTGGATGATGCGACTGCAGCCACAAGACAATGGCTCCAGTGAGCTCACCACACACTAGCTATAGGTGTAGTGGAAAGAGAGTGAAAGTTTGGTCGATGGGGATGATTGGGAGGCCATGATGAATAAGGGCTAATAGAAGGAATTTGGACAGCACACTGAGGCTGCACCCTTACTCTTTATGAGAAGTGCCAGGGTATTTTTATTGACCACAGAAAGTCAGGACCTCAGACTTCTCATTTGAAAGACTGTTCACTGACAGTATACTGCCCTCTTCACTATATTGGGGCATTAGGACACCTGCTGGCCTCACTTCTTCCAACAGCAACCTAGTGTTCCCGTGTGGTCTTCGATTCAGGTACTGACCAGGCTCAACCCT